ATGTGGTAGCTCCCATTCCTCCAAGCACCTTGTCCACACTGGTTCGAAACAATTGTAACAAAAAAAAGAATCATCACAAAAGTGGACAAAGAGATGCGTCGTTGTTACATCCTACTGTAGACTGCCTGGTAATAATGCGCGTGTCCGTTCAGAGCGATCTCAAAAAAGCGTGGTTCGACTTTGTCTGCAAAGAACCGAGGCAAAAGCTTCACAGCGAGCTGCTGAGTCATCAGGGCACCCATCCTGAATGGAGGGTTTTAATAGGCCTCTGACAACTCGAAACAGTTCAGCCGGACGGTTCTTTGCAGACGCAATAGTGGCCGCAAAGAAAGTTTTCTTTGCGGCCCTTATTGCCGCGGCATATGACCTTAAAAAGGACACAAACCGTGTTCGGTTTGGCTCGCTCGGATCCGAACGCCACACGCTCTCTAGTTCCCTCTTCTTTCGCTTCAACGCTGCCAGCTCCTCAGTAAACCAAGGGGCTGGTTTAGTTCGGCTACTTGAGAGGGGACGTTCTGGAGCGATCGTGTCTATTGCCCTAGTCATCTCCCCATTCCAGAGAGCGACCAGGGCATCAACAGGATCACCAACCGAGGTGGCGGGAAATTCCCCAAGAGCCATCAGGAATCCCTCCGGATCCATAAGCCTCCTGGGGCGGACCAATTTAATAGGTCCTCCACCTCTGCGGAGGTTAGGGGGTGCAGTAAGTCTAAAGCTGACCAGGTGGTGGTCGGTCCATGGCAAGGAGAAGATGGACCACTCCCGCCCCCCCCCTGCACCCCCAACACACGCGTCAAACCGTCTGACCTTTTCTCTGACGAAAAAACCAAGTCCAAATGTTATTGTACAGCCAGTGGGAGGGGGGCACGATACTTGCTGAGACAGCCCCATGTCACCATGGTAGAAAGAAGTCTGTAAGGGCCAGCCCCGTCTAGGGCAGCCATCCGGCATGGATGTTGGAAATGTCCCCAGCACAAGCCGCCGTTCGGGACCTCCAACGCCAGGTCTACTGGAGGGACCTACCCAAGCTAGCATAAGGTAGGGAGGGGGATGTAGTGCGTGAGTTTGTGGGGACGCGTACACTAAAACAGAAAATTCACTAATTGCCGGGTCAAACCACACTAGCGTAGGACGGGCAATTCAAAAACCCCCGTTTCGTTGAGCTGGAGGGTACTTGGGGTACATGGTCATGAGAAAAAACAAATGGAAATTCTATAGACTACTGCAATCCGACCTTCCCCGCCTTCACCGGATCTGGTTTGGTGCTGCCACAGAGAAACCGGGGTGGTGACAAAAAGTTGGGTCAAAAAAAATTTACGCTCTTCCCGTTTTCGTCCAGCCAGGGTTTCCGTGGATTGCAAGGCCAGGCAGGATTATTGCGTTACAATTCCAGGAATTAAGTCCTGGATGAAAGTTGTTTTACCGTTTTCCAGATATCCCTGGAATTCCTTCTTTTCTGAGTGTTGCTCTTTATTTACTTCAAATCCTGACTTATTCCTGCCCGGGGGAATCCTTTGTTGGGAGGTATTAGTTGGCGCTGATTGTTTCCTGTCTGGAATTCCTTCTTTTCTGAGTGTTGCTCTTTATTTACTTCAAAGCCTGGCTGCTTCCTGCCTGGGGGAATCCTTTGTTGGGAAGTATTAGTTGGCGCTGATTGTTTCCTGTCTGGAATTCCTTCTTTTCTGAGTGTTGCTCTTTATTTATTGTCCTGATTCTAGAAAGCATGTAGACTGTTCTGTTCTCATAAGATATAAGGCAATGTCCAAATGCAGCACCTCTGTATGCTTCCAGGTCGTATTAGGTTACAGCTAGTTCCCCCTCCCCTGAATTACTGTATTTTTCTTTCCTTGCTCCTCTTTTAGTGGACTCTTCATTTTGTGTCTTTGTTCTTCCCCAAAGTTGTTTGTTCCGTCCCAGAAATGCTTTCTAACTCATTTGGAGAAGTAGCTCTAAGAGCGAAAGGGAGAGCAGAGAGAAACGGGCCTTCCATCCACTGGGGAGACTCTCTCTGGGCCAGACTTGAGGAATTGCCTGGCACCTCCCTCTGAGAGCAGAAACGTGGCAGGGAGCCACTCAAGTGCCCCCCTCCGGACGGCTCCTTGGAGGCCCTGAGTGTGCATCAGGAACTCCTCCAGAGTGGTGGCATCAAAAGCTGTTGAGAGGCTTAAAGCAATGCACCTGACCCCTGGGGACTGGCATCGCAAACTAGACAATAATTGTGCCATGCTCTCTCTCTCTCTGGCTCAAAGCTCATCCTGCTCTTTGCAGACAAATTCATTGCAGCGGGTTAGAAAGATCAGAGTTAGAAAGATGGATCTGTTAAATATCCAAGAAGTCATTGCAATTTGAACTCAGAACCTCAGACCAAGGATGTGGGGAAGAGCATTAACAAGCTAACGATTAACTATTGTGTTTAGGAAAGAAAGAGATTCAAATCATTACAGCCGGCCATCCTTATTCATAGATTCTGTATTCACAGATTCAACCAAATGTGGCTAGAAATTAGGTAAAGGTATTCCCCTGACATCAAGTCCAGTTGTGTCCAAATATGAAAGTTGGAGCTCATCTCCATTTCTAAGCCGAAGAGCCAGCGTTGTCCGTAGACACCTCCAAGGTCATGTGGCCGGCAAAATAATATATAATAATATTGTAATGTAGTAATAAGATAAAGGTTTCCCCTTGATATTATCCAGTCATGTCTGACTCTGG